TTTTTTTTTTTTTTTCCATATGATTTTGAATATGAAGAATGTGTTCCACATTATGACATATGTCTAGTTGCTAAAATAAAGAATGAATTCAGGTGTTGCTCACATAACCAATATCTAAACAATTACGCAGTGAACTTTATACAAGCCAATCATTTGTACCCGCGCTAAAAATAAACACTAGAAACTCTAAAAGCTAGAAATATGTGGGCATGATTCAAGCCTGAGAGTATTCCAGCTAATATAATGATAAACTAGAAAAAAATTAGTAAGATTGATATATTTGATATATTACTCAGGGGAAAAAAAAAATATCTATTTGGTTGATTGTTCTTCTTAATTATTATATGTTTTCACATGCCATCTAATGAAAAATAAATCAACACAGAAACAGTATAATTATTTCAATCGTTTTTTCAATTAAGTTCTAATATACAAGTAAAAGTAAGCAACAAATGTTCAGTTTCTTTAGTGGCAAAATAATTCACCACCACATTAATTCTATGAACATAAACCAACTAAGAGAACATTTAATTTACCATCCACCAGAAAAGGAGCACAAAGAAACGGCCTATTGACCAATCTTACCAGAGAGCAAGAAAGCTTTTTTACCACGTTTCAGAGGGACTAGAGAATGGCAGAGTGCAATTTCAAACCTGGAATTTAGTTATCCTACTTCAAACTACTACAGTGAACGACAGACACATGTATTAAAAATGTTTCAAATCATTAGTTATGGTAAAAGTAGTCAGAGCCTTCTGCATCTCATCCAAAAGACAGTGCCTTCAGCTCCAGGGAATCGGAAGACCCTACTAGGACAGTAAGTGGATTTTCTTCTTTCCCAGCCCCTTTGGGCCATGTAAGGTTTGAATACATCACAACACGGGTACTGGGGCAGGAGATTTCCAAGTGTAACAGACGATACACCTAGCAGAAAAATTATTATTTTTCAAAGACAAAGGATCAAGTATTGTACCCCAGAGAATGTACAGACAGGAAAGGAGGGAACAGTAACCTTGCCATGCTTTTTCTCAGGAAGCAGACTGCTTTCTTGTGGTTCCTTTGGGCATCTTCAAGTATTTTTTTTTGTCTTTCTTCATATTCTTTCAGGGCTTCCTCCTCTTTTCTACAAAACACAGGCAAATCAGCACTTGCAGCAGGACTAAGGAAACCTTGATTCCAACACACCAACATCCAAGGGTGGGGTGGGGGAGTTAAACGAGGACATCAGTCCCCACCTGCCCCTCCCTCCCACC